AGAATATTTTAAAAAAATGTATTAATATCATAAAAAATACTTTTGAAATCTCAAATGTTTAATATAAATTTTACCTCCTAACTGAATTTTCTGACTCCGTCCATACTGACGACCCAAGTCCCTGATCTCAGCATTTCCCACATTCTGCGTGTGGCCAATTCTACTGCTGATCTCTTGGCCAAGTTTGGTGCTAGGATGGGCACCCATTTTGTTGTATTTAATAGTTGTCCTCCGAAGCTTAACTCTATTTTGTACTCTGATGCTTCTGGGAATACGGTTCCCAGGAATGTAACTATTTAACTCTATCTATTATATCATATCTCCTTTCTACCAAAAAAAAAAAAAACCGTAAAATATAGACTTTATTCAATTAACTAGTAGTGGAATTGAAAAAAATGAAAAATAAAAACTAATTGAAATTGATGGATTCACCAAACCCCCCGACCCAACAACCGAGTGGTGGGGTTCACCAGGCATGTTATGCATGCGCACCTAACCCAGCAGCCATCACCATCAGGAAGGTCTCTACTTTTCTTTTACAAGAGAGCACGGTAATTTTCAAAAATCTTTTCTCAGAAGAAGAGCCCAACAGTTTGATAAAATTCCTTGTTCTCCCCAGTATTGCATGTTTTGCAGAATTTAGTTAAATAGATAATATATTCCAAATAAATTGAAAATGGTTTTTACGTTATATATGACAAGGATGCAATGCAATTTTGTTACCAACAGAAACATGTGATAAAAATTATTTTCATTTATTATAGTTTATAAAGTTGTTCCTAAACTAAAGAATTTAAAATTTTAAATATAAAATTTCTATAAATCTCAACATGTAACTTCTTGATGAGATTAAGATATCTTGTGACTTTGTCACTAATTCTTGGATATGGCTCTTAAAAACATGCATTTAGCTCTCAATGTTGATGTTTTGATGGAAATATTCCCCTGTGGACTATGGATAATGGAGCAACCCTAAAAGGGGCAAACGCAGGGTTTTGTGATTATAGGACTGAAATGTACCTTACCTAAATCATGGAGGGCGATACGTGCATTTTATCCAAAAATTAAGGTAAAATGACTAAATCAGACCGAAGAACAACGCCATCTACAACTCTCTAATTTGACATCCATCTGAAAGTCCATTGCACTTTCCATATAAATCGATAAATTCCATCAAATTCTTCTTCAGCGTTTCGTAAAACCCCCTTCATAGTTTTTCATATAGTCTCGTCCCTTTTCACAAGGTATGTCTGCTTATTCGCTTGTTCTGTGGAGTAGAATGCATGTCTTCTTGAGTTGCTGATGTGTTGATTCGTCTTTATTTATCAGTTCTTTGATGGGTGTGTATGTAATGTATCTATGTTTCTGCTAGCAGTTTAGGATCATAAAGTTGTTATCTTTATTGGTTTCAACCCCTATCCTCCGGGTATATTCTCTTTCTTGAAGTTTTTGGGGATTGGCGAGCTGTGTTTGTGCAAAATGATGTCTTTTTGATGTTTTACAGCTTTTGTTATTGAAGAATCATGTTAGGATAACCATGATCTGTGTTCTTAGGAGATCAAATTGACACTTTTTTCACCCTCCGTTGCCTTTTTATGATTAGAATCAAAATGTTTGTAGATTTATCCATTTGATGGCGAAACTTAAGCTTACAGTGTCATAAACTGGACGCAGTTAACATTGTAATGACATTAAATTGAGTCATTGTGAATTGTATTGAGCATAAACAACCATGACCTTGCATTGAATTTCTAGGCATTTTTGCATAGATTTATTCTGTTAGATCTGGACTGGATGATTTTTCAATAAAAATTGGAATTTTATCCCTTTGGTTTAGAAGAAGAAAGTGAAGATTTTGAATTAGTAATCCCAAATGAAAGGATTGTAGATATTATTCCTACTGAGACTCAATTTTCTTGGACAGGAAACTAGAAAACTAGAAATGGTTGCCCCAACAAGGATTGGCCTTGCTGGCCTTGCAGTTATGGGCCAAAATCTGGCACTCAACATTGCTGAGAAAGGATTCCCAATCTCTGTTTACAACCGGACCACCTCAAAAGTTGATGAGACTGTTGAAAGAGCTAAAGAAGAAGGGAATCTCCCAGTATATGGATTCCATGATCCTGAATCCTTTGTTCATTCTATCCAAAAACCCCGTGTCATCATCATGCTTGTGAAGGCTGGGCCTCCTGTTGATCAAACCATTAAAACCTTATCAGTTTATATGGAAAAGGGAGACTGTATCATTGATGGTGGCAATGAGTGGTATGAGAACACTGAGAGGAGAGAGAAAGCCATGGCTGAATTGGGTCTGCTTTACCTTGGAATGGGAGTTTCTGGTGGTGAAGAGGGAGCTAGGCACGGTCCTTCTTTAATGCCTGGAGGTTCCTATGAGGCTTTCAAGCACATAGAAGATATACTCCTTAAGGTGGCTGCCCAGGTTCCTGATAGTGGCCCTTGTGTCACTTATATTGGCAAGGGAGGATCTGGCAATTTTGTTAAGATGGTTCACAATGGGATTGAGTATGGTGATATGCAGCTGATTGCTGAGGCCTATGATGTGTTAAAATCAGTAGGGAAGCTCACAAATGAGGAGCTACACCAGGTTTTCTCAGAGTGGAATAAGGGGGAGCTGCTAAGCTTTTTGATTGAGATCACTGCTGACATATTTGGAATTAAGGATGATAAAGGAGAAGGATATTTGGTAGATAAGGTTTTGGATAAAACTGGCATGAAGGGCACTGGAAAATGGACAGTTCAGCAAGCTGCAGAGTTGTCAATTGCTGCTCCAACAATAGCATCATCCTTGGATGGTAGGTTCCTTAGTGGTTTGAAGGAGGAAAGAGTTAAAGCTGCCCATGTCTTCAAATCAAGTGGCATCAGTGACAGTCTAGCTGACCAAGCTGTTGATAAGAAAAAGCTCATCGATGATGTGCGTCAGGCACTATATGCATCTAAAATTTGTAGCTATGCACAGGGAATGAACTTGATACGTGCCAAGAGCATTGAGAAGGGATGGGGCTTGAAACTTGGAGAACTGGCCAGGATTTGGAAGGGGGGCTGCATCATTCGTGCTGTATTCTTGGACCGTATCAAGAAGGCCTATGATAGAAACCCAGACCTAGCTAACCTTCTTGTTGATCCAGAGTTTGCCAAGGAGATTGTAGAGCGACAGTCTGCTTGGCGAAGAGTTGTCTGCCTTGCTATCAACTCAGGCATTAGCACTCCTGGTATGTCCTCTAGCCTTGCTTATTTTGACACATACAGGAGGGAGAGGCTGCCTGCTAATTTAGTTCAAGCTCAAAGGGATTACTTTGGAGCTCATACTTATGCGAGGATTGATGTACCGGGATCCTTCCATACTGAGTGGTTCAAGATAGCTAAACAGTCCAAAATCTAATATCTTTCTGTTGGTGTTAACCTCTGTCCTTGAACCATTTCCTCTGAAGCCAATAATGTACTTCAATGACTGAGAGACCTTTATCTTTATTTTGTTTTCTTGAAATGATATTATCTCAGTGAAGGTACTCGGAATCTGGTATATTGTCAACAGATAAATTTTCAATATCTGGTTAAGCTCTGCCTGCAAACCAAACTGGGTCTTGCCTTCTTATTTTGACCCTGAGAATATTTGTGTTTCCTTTTGGTTTCAAAGGTGCTAAATGCAATTCCATTTAGTGCGTGATGAATAAAAAAATAATGCCATCTTGCGTCATTTTTCTTGTTTTATAATATTCTTTTGCTATTTGGATGAACATATGTCATGGAAAATGGAAATCTTCTGCATTTTCAGACATCAAAATATATATTCTTGATACAAGGAGAGGAGAGGTTCTCCGCACTGCTCTGTATCGTGGTAGTCAGGGAGCCTCACATGAGCATTTTCAGAATCTAGATTCAATCTGGTAGAGTGCTTTCAAAATCCTTGTAACATGATTAATGTCAATTATTATTTATTTATTGCTGATTGTTGGGTATAAATTGACGTTACGCTTCCTTTCATTTCTATTTTTTATTTATTCATATCTTGTTTATTCATATATCGTTTGGGAGTATGGTTGTTGTCTTCTGTTTGGTTGACCAAAGTAAAAGGCGGTAGGTTGTTGTACTGATTAGACCTCCCTCCCTCCGTCCTTTTGAGCTTGGGAAGGACTAATTGAACTCTGGTGGCCTGGCTTTAACTTCTGGAGTAGAGAAGCTCTTCCAGAAGTTGGGCCAAATGGGCACTCACTGTAGGAAATTGCTTGCCTGGTCTGTAGGAACTTTTGAAGGCTGAAACAGTCATGTATTGGACAAATCGGCTAACCAAGAATATTTGGGGCCACGATGCACATGATTTTGGGATGACTATTTTGTTCTTTGAGCATTTTTTATGCATCCTATTACACTCGTTGAAATTATATTTCTAAGGTAGGTCTCCATGTGGTCACTAATTTATAAAAGCCATTAATCTAGCAATTCTTCTCATGTCATTCGGAACACTTTTTGTTTTGCAGAAAATAGTAATACTAACGAGAGTGATAGAGCTCATCTGCTGATACATCGTTGAACCCATAAAATACATTTAGACATATTCATCCATGAAATATTCACACCATCCAGTCATGCACTATTTCACCACCACATTCACACTGAAATTTCAGAATCATAGATTTGATGTGCTGTCATTTTCTTGGAATGTATTTCTGCAACACATTCTAGGAGAATTGGAAAATATGGGAAAGGCCTACCCTACCTGGCTCATCCTCACCTTAGCTCCACTTTGAAACATGACTAGTAGCGCCCTTTGCTTTCAGCACTGACTTCTTTTCTGTCTTGCTTTTTCTTTGGTCTTTGACTACCTGCTTGTGCAGTTTTTCTTCAGAGGAATACTTAGTAGCTACCCGCTGGTAACGATCCCTCCCTCCACGCTTACTGTTTTTGTATGGAAGCTTGCGATGACTTTGTCCGGAAGAGGCATCTGAAGCCATTGAATCATCACTCTCCTCAACATCATCGTTGTTATATTTATTAATGCTACACTTGTTTTTGTTGCTGTAGATGTCTTCCTGTTCATCAGATGGAAGATTTTCAGGTGTGGGGGAGCCAATATATGCAGTCCATCCTGACTCACTGCTGTCATGTTCCTCTTCATTGCCTCCAAGGATATTGGAAGTGTCCATTGCAGATGCTACAGCAAGCAGACAGGACTGAAAAGATAAACTCAATGAAGAGATCACAAAAGCTTGGTGAGGAACTGCATAGCCCTTTTCTATTGTAGACTACAATTTTTGATTCCGAGTTATCTATAAAACGTACTTGCATCTTGTCTTTTTTGAGTGTAGCAATTGTCCCTTCCTCAATTTTTACAGCTTTCAACAGATAGGACAACGGAAATTATTTCTCAGAATGCTCGCGGTCGTAAAGCCCTCTTAACTGTTAGCCAAGAAATACGTGGCAATGCTAGACAGTACTTCTCTCAATTCAAGCACTAGAAGACAAGCTTTTGATAATGAATTAGTTAATGCATTTGAAAAATAATATAAAAACCTGAGTTCTTAAATATAAAAGAAGTAAAAAATTTTCTCACTTCACTTGATTACCTGCCCTTTTACCTTAAAAATACCAGAACCTTTACTTCTCTCTGTTCATCTCATAAATAAAGGAGCAGCCTTTTGAGGTGGGAAATCGGATGAGCCCCACTTAGCAAACAAGGGAATTTTTATACCAATTTTTCCCTTACAGTTTACAATGCCATCTCCTCTATTCTCTTTCTTTGTCACCAAGAAAAGAATAAATAGCCTTTTACTTTTACCCAATGCATAGAACCCAGCTAGGATTTTGGCTTTTTGTATTGGATAGGTGGAGATGGGGTTGGCAAAAGGTCATTTTCCTTCTGTTCTTCTGACCTCTCTGTTCCACTCTCCTTCTAAAGCAGCCCACCTCTAAAGCTACCTCAGTTATCATGTCTAACATCAAAGGAAGCATAAAGATACAAGTGTTTGTTGATATTCAGTGACTTCTAATGACCTTTTTTTTTTTTTTTTTTTGTCCTATTTCACCTAGTAGTGTGACTTAAATAGCCTGCCTTTTTTGGGATGCATATGATTGTATGCCCTTGGAAGTTCGCTTGCATAATTGGACGGTTTTACTTTTACCTGTTGGAACTTGTTTAGTATATTTGCATATGTATCTTTCCTGTTTTGTCCAAAACAAGTTTCCCCATTTCAGTTAAAACAACGCAGAAATGTTGAGTCTGATGAACTCGTTTTCCGGTTAGGCCTTCAGTTCTGGAGGCTCAGACTAGAGACCTCCATACAGAGGGTCCAACTTAAATGGGTGAGCTAACCTACATTCATCAAGCTTAACTATGGTGAAGGTATCCATCAGCATTATTAGTATCTTCAGATGACGAATCATTTTACAGTTGGCATTCTTCTAGTATCATCACATGACATGTTTGGTTGTTTGTAGTAAAATGAATAGCCCTAGAAAGTCATTTCGTGATGGGATCACTCACTGCAAGCAGATGCATGCACGCATACAGGCCTTTTAGTCATCAGACATCATTTCAAATGAAATGATAAAGCTGATCGACGGTGTTTATCGGATGAAACTACCACCAACAGTAATGACTGCAACAGGTCGGGTTTAGGACATGTAAGTTTAGAACATGCTCCAGCTGAATCTTCCTTAAACCAAACCTGACCTGGCTTGAACCTACAATTTAAAGTGTATAAGAATTTCCACAAATCACAGACAACTTCACCAGATCATGAACCACTTCACCAACTCTCTTCTTCTTCCCAAGTATTCCTACTGATTCATCATTCAGCCTTAGTTTTCCCAGAATCAGTTTCAACACACACAATTATTACTCAACTGTTACGATCCTTAATCAAAAAGCATTTTTCATTTGTTCTTATTGTTCTGCATGGTACACAAGGCCACGTGCCAGCCCATAGGGCAGCCTGTTTGAGGTGTCGCAGGTGGTCTTGAGGTGTCACAGGTGGTCCTTGGCAGGGGCGGAGCCAATGTAGGACAAGGGGGGGCAGCTGCCCCCCTAAGGTTTTGAAAATTTTCAAATATGGTACATTAATTTTTATTTTCTACAAAATTTTGTTTTTTGAGGCTTTACATCATTGGGAACATTTCAAATATATATATAAAAAAAAAATTAGGATTTAGGTAAAGGAATTATTTCTCTCCTTATGATTAATTTTTAAGATATGATAATTTGGTCTAGGTAAGGAAAAATATTAAAAAATAATCAAAATCTAATTAATTACATTAATATAACTTTTATAAGTTTTTACATTAGTTATAGACAATTTTTTCGTATAATTTATATACTATGAAAATAATATTAAATTTATTCTATTTATATAAATCATACATTTCAAATTTAAAATTGTTTGATATAAGTAGCCATTTAAAAAAATAAACTATACTTTTATATTATTTATTTAGAGATTTTAAAGTATATATCATTCATAAATAACTAAATATATCTAATTTTCTTGATAAACTAAAATATCTAATTAATTAGAAGTTTTTACATGTATAAATAAATGATACATGCATAAAATAAATTATCAATATAAAAATCAATTTAAATTATATTAACATAAACTAATACATAACTCAAAAAAACTTTTAACCTTTTCACTCGCCCCCTAACTTCAATTTCTAGCTCCGTCCCTGCTCCTTGGCAATGGCATGGTGGTCACTCATTCCGCTGTGCTGTCCTGCATTTGCTTCAACTGTTTAACCACATTGAATTGAATGAACGATTGTATCTACCTTGCTTTATCACAAAGGCACATAAAAACAAAAATCAAACAAGAGACTGGGATTGGCTCCATTAAATGCCTGCTCAAGACAATCTCCAAAGTTCTGATACTTCTGCAATATGCAGCATTGATTTCCTTTTTGTTTTTTTGTCTTTTTGAACCTTTTCCGCTGGTAGATACTATTGGTTAGGATTTAGGAAAATTCAAAGCTTGTGTCTCTATCATAACGAGTCGAAAGGACCGTTTTTACTTGGAAATTGAATGTTATTGAATCCCTTTGATAAAAAAAACACTTCGACATTCATGTATTCATGCATTTGACTAAATTATGGGTATGAGGAGAAATTTCCTCGATTCCACTTACTTTGGCTTCTCTTTGAAAAGTCTTGATGGAAATTTCTAAGGGTTAAAGCCAACTGTCATCCCTCTACTTTCATTTTTTGTTCATACCCATCCCTCTACTAAGGATTTATTCATTTTCATCCCTTTACTTTCCTAACACTAATCAACGTCATCTCTCTGCTCACCTTTATCCATTCAATGTCGTCCTTATTTGGACGGTGTTGCTTGTGCAGTTTATTTTGACCGTTATATGCCGTTAATCAACTGTTAACACAATTCTTTAATTTTTTTCGCTTGTTCTAACTTAGTGGAGACCGCATATTACTTTCCTTTTCATCGTCTTCCACTCGACCTTTCCCTAAACTCAATCCTTTTTATTTTTTTTGGCAGAAACCTAATGCCCACCCCAAAATTAAATGAAATTAACATATTTTAACTCACTATGCATGTTGTTGGGATATATTTTTTCTTTAAAAAATATAAATAAAAATTTATTATTAAAAATAAATGATAAAAGAGTTTATTATTTTATAATTTAAATTGTATTAAATTGTAAAATAAAGATATTTTATGCGAAAGACTTTCAATATTAAGAGTTCATTTATTATTTAAGGTTTTATATTTTGTAATATAGTATAATCTAAATTACAAAAAAAAATTTAGTTATAAAATACTAAAATAATATTTTACATTTAATAAACTATATTAAATAATAATAATATCATAAACAATTTATAGATTGTATACTACTCTATTTATTATTTTTAAGATACAACTTGAGATGTCACGTAAATTTATAAAGTTAAAATATAGCAAATCATTATTTTTTAATAAATAACAAGATGAATCACTTAAAATATAGCATTGAAGTGTTAATTAGTTTTAAAAAATACTATTAAGATCTATTGTATCTTTTCAAAAAGAAAACTTATTTATAAAAGGTTGTTATATAAAATAATTTTATACTTAAATACAAAAGAAAATTTTAGTTTTATCAACAAAAAGATGGTTTGTGAGACAACAATCGAAGAAATATGCTAAGTGAAAGATTATAGTGACTAAAATTTTTTTTATTATATTATGTTAGGTTGTTTTTTCTTTCTTTCTTTTTGTTTTTAGGTTTAGACTTTACAATACTATTTTGTGGTGTGAGTTATATACTAATTTTTTTTTTAATTAGTGAGAAGTTTATTATATCACTTCTTATTAATTTGTTAGTTAAAATTGCAAGGTATTTGGGCATTTCAGAGATATAATAAACTTCTACTGACATGTTAACAAGGAATGATATAATAAACTTTTCAATAATTAAAAAAAAATGTTAGCATGTAACTAATACCACAAATAGCACTATAAAATTCAAACCAAGAAATAAAAAGAAAGAAAGAAAGAAAGAACTTAACATAACATAACAAAAAAAAAATTTAGTCATTATAATTTTTCATTTAGTGTATTTCTCCAATTCCACCGTTAAAGGTTTTTTTTTACCTCTTGATTTTTATCTCACAAACCACTTGTTTATTGATAAAACTAAATTTTTTTGTTGTATTTAAGTGTAAAATTATTTTATATAACAACCTTTCTTAAATAAGCTTTTTCTTTGAAAAAATACAATAGATTTTGATAGTAGTTTTAAAAACTAATTGTCACTTCAATGCAATATTTTGATTGATTTATCATGTTATTTATCAAAAAATAGTGATTTATTATATTTTAACTTTATAAATTTATATGATATCTAAAGTGATATCTTAAAAATAATGATAGAGTAGTGTATGGTTTATATATTGTTTTATTATATTATTATTATTTAATACAATTTATTAAAAATAAAATATTATTTTGCATTTTATAATTGAAAATATTTTATAATTTAGATTATACTAAACTAAAAAATATGAAACCATGAATAATAAATGAATCTCTTACATTGAGATTGAGAGTCTTTTCCATTGAAAGATTTTTATTTTATAATTTAATATAATTTAAATTATAAAATAATAAATTCTTTCATTATTTATTTTTAATTATAATTTTTTCCTTAAAAGTAAAAATATATCCTAACAACCTGTAAAGTGAGTTGGAAAATGTTAATTTCATTTAATCTTGGGCTGGGCATTAGGTTTATGCAAAAAGGTGGATTGAGTTTAAGGAATTGTTGAGTGGAAGATGATGAAAAGGAGTGGTCCCACTAAGTTAGAACAAGGGAAAGAAATTAAAGAATTGGGTTAATGGTTGATTGACGGCATATAACGGTCAAAATAAACGGCGAAAGCAACGCCGTCCATATAAGGCTGACATTGAATGGAAAAAGGTTAGTAGAGGGGTGAGGTTGATTAGTGCTTGGGAAGTAGAGGGACTAAAATGAACAAATTCTTAGTAGAGGGACGGGTATGAACAAAAAATGAAAGTAGAGGGACGAAATTGGCTTTAACTGTTTAACCCAAATTTCTCATCAATTAAACAATGGAAAATTAATCATTTTAATCAAATTTAATTATAAAATTTACATAATTTACATAAAGTTGAATTTCTTAATGAACCAATCAAGAATTGTTCTTTGCATAAAATTCCCCTTGACCTCTCGGGGGTTAACGAAAGTTTTCTTTTTTCCATCCGGTGGAAAAAGGCGGAGGGAAGACTGACACAACACCTATGACTCAGTGCTCACAAGCGAATGTGATCCAGAATTGATGATTCTAGGTGCACGATACAAAAACTTTGAATCAAAAGCAGAAAACTTAAAGAAGAATTCGAAATGGGTTTGATCGAATTCGTGAAATCAATCAACTGGGAGCAGGAAGCATACCCAAGTTATGAGGATTTCGCTGTTCTTCCTTTCTTTGCTCTCTTCTTGCCATCCGTTCGATTCTTACTCGATAGATTCGTGTTTGAGGTACTTTGGTTTTTATTTTGTACTTAAATTTGAATTGAGTTTTGGTTCTTTTTCTTTGTATCTGTGAATTTGTACCTTGTTTTTGTCTTTTGAGCTTTATTGAATCATAAATGGGTTTGCTACTGGGTTACTTGAGTGACTTACATAGCATTCGTACTTTGTTTAGCAGTTTTTATTGAAAAAAGCAATGCCTTCTCTTCTTGTTTTTATTTACAATGAATAGGTTCTGGTCTAAAAATTGAACTACTTAAAAGAAAGAATGTTGAGACAGATTAATACGTTGGTAATGTTTTGACTAACTTGGTATGGTGAGTTTAGAATTTGAAAAGTGGTTTCATTTGAGTTCCTCTTCACTAATTGACTTCATTCAATTTGTACTTGATCACTATGTTACAGTACTTGGATTTTGATCAAGAAATACCCTTGTTTATTATATATTTTCCCTGGTCAGAGACTCCGTGTCAGCCTATTTTGTCAAAAAAGCTATATAGACTGCATGAGCCAATGCTAGAAGATTGGTCCTTGAAACTGGACCTTAAAGCTTTAACTGAGGTCATTATAAATACTATTATCCTATTTTTTCTGACTCTTACATGGTCATTTTAGATCTAAGTTGCATGCTTTTAGTTGAAAAGCCACATTTTCAAGGCATGCTTGGAAGGTGTTACATTTTGTTTCTTCTTCTGCTTTTCTGCAGTTGCATAGGAATTTACTGTTATTCACCAATTTATTGAGTTTTGGCTAAGCTTGTGTCTTTCATTGTTAAAAAAAGTTTGTTCTCTTGTTTGTACGCTTTTTGCACCATCCAAATAATTTATCTTATTGCTATGCCTTTGTTCCCGTGAGTGCATATTGCATATTGCAATTTTGTGTTGCCACAAAAATTTCATACATGCATGTTTGTAGTAAGGGCATGTCACTGTACTAGTATTCTTTTAAAATTTTCATTCAACAAGATATCTAAAATAATTTTTTGCATATTCAGAAAGCAGCTAGACGATTGATTTTCGGAAAGAAACACCAGGTATCAGATGTCAAAACAATTGAGGGAAGGAAAAAGATTAGAAAATTTAAGGAGTCAGCTTGGAAATGTATTTATTTTCTTTCTGCAGAGCTTCTAGCTCTCTCTGTGACTTATGATGAGCCCTGGTTTACAAATACTAGATACTTTTGGGTGGGGCCAGGAAATCAGGTCTGGCCTGATCAAAAACTGAAGTAAGATTTCTATGACCATGTTTGAAGTATTTTCTTTGGTTATAAGTTTATGACATTGGCTTATCTCTATCCTAACATTCATCACTGGTAGGGAAATGAGGACTTGGACCCTGTAATCTTAATAGGCTGACTGCTATTTTCCTTTTTCTAGGTTAAAATTAAGGGGCCTCTACATGTATGCTGCTGGATTTTATACATACTCCATATTTGCTTTAATCTTTTGGGAAACAAGGCGTTCTGACTTTGGGGTGTCCATGGGTCATCACGTTGTATCAGTCATCCTCATTGTGCTGTCTTACGTATTTAGGTAAGCACATTAGCACATACGGGCTCTATTCAGCACCTAGATGAGTATTTAGTATAAGATTTATGAAGCAGTGTATTACTTTCTTATGCCTGTTTCTTGCAGATTTGCTCGCGTTGGTTCAGTAGTTTTAGCAATTCACGATGCTAACGATGTATTTTTGGAGGTTGGGAAGATGTCCGTATACAGTGGAGCTGAAACACTTGCTAGCTTGTCACTTATTCTTTTCATTATATCTTGGACCTTATTGCGCCTCATTTTCTACCCTTTTTGGATCCTTTGGAGTACAAGGTATGTATTACTTGACTCCTTATATTTTTCTATTGCTTGGTTTTTCTCAGCAGACAAGTGTGCTGTTTATAAGGGCCAGTTATTAGATAAAATCCATGCTAGGTCTAAATTAATATACCTGTTTTTGAAATTTGGTCAAACATTGAAACCTTGGTATGTTTATTTTATGAAAAAGGAAGTCTGGGGGTTAAAAACTGTGTTATTCTGCTTCTCATCTAATCTAGACAATAAACTTGATTTTAAGACTTTTTTCTTCTAATGGTGCTAGTTTTTCATATATGCTTTGCATTTTTCTTACTTTTCTATTGCAGCTACGAGGTTACTCTATTGTTTGACAAGAAAAAGCACCCAGTGGATGGACCAATATATTATTATGTGTTCAATACTCTTCTCTTCAGCTTGCTTGTTATTAACATTTATTGGTGGGTCTTGATATATCGAATGCTTGTTAAACAAATCCAAGCAGGAGGCAAAGTTAGTGATGATGTTAGATCAGGTAAGCAAAAGCACATGTTTTTGTAGTGGTTAACATTTACTAACGTGACTACACTTTATAAACACAAGTTTCAGGCGAAAGGAATGAATTGGGTTATTTTCACTATAGTTAATTGCATCAAGGATTTTAGGCAACATAAACATGAAGCTTTACTCTTTATTTTCAAATTAGGTTATTTTCTCTATAGTTAATTTTTACTCCTTTTCATTTCTCTGTAGTTATTGTGTCCCATTTTCCTTCTCATTGTTTTACACTGTATTTTATGCAGATTCTGAAGGTGAGGATGAACACGAAGATTGATCTGGGAAAAATTACAGAAAATACGAATTCTATGCAACTCATGCAAAGGTAATCTGACTCATTCTAAAGTACTAGAAATGTGAATTTGTAAAATCCTTTCCCATTGTCATCCATAGTTAAGCAAATTCGACTTTTAAACATCACCGAAATCCTTGATTGGAGCTAGTCAGGGGGACCAGATATGTTTAAATTGAAATCATTATTATCGTATCTATAGAAACCTGGGGCATGACTGCAATTTTTTCTAAACCTTAATAAAAATGCCCCTCATTACCTACTTAATGACGAGGCAGAATCTGCTGTGATCAGGTTTATGGATAAATATTGCTTCTCTGTTCCTCATTAACGTATCATGAATTTGATTGGCAAGTGATGTTGATGCATCCATTCTTACTCAAACTTACTGAGATTTCTGTATAATGTCTTCTGCAGATGAAGAAGTACCATGTTTTAAAGTTTAGACATTTGATGTTCTCTTTGGCTTGAATTCCCTTGTAACTGAGGGAGTAGTATATTGTTTTGATCAGATACAGAAGCAATTGCAAAAGGTTCCCATTGATGGAAGAGACATTTATTGATTGATCAAGTCTTATTGCCATGCAGCTCCCTAGATTTGGTTTGAGTCTCCTGGTTCAACACGGAATTGTTGGAAGAAAACACACTAACTTGAAAGAGCAATACTTACATCTCATGAACACAAGCCTGCCACCAGTGGGAAGGCTAATGAACTCAGTCTCTTCGTTAAACCTTATGTAGAATCTAAGCTCTATGGCTCCATTGTAGGCTTATGTGTCCATGGTGAGCAGGATTTATTCCATATGGATTCTTAGCTTAAACTGCTAGTCATGTTTTACAGTTGTTTTAGAGTTGATTTCCTGTAAATTTTACATGTTATTAATTTTTGGTTGATGGGGATGCAGTATTTCTTCAATCAAAGTCCCTTTTTTTGGGTACAAAAAGTTGGGAAGATAATGGGAACAAATTTGAAATTGCTTTTGATAAATATAAGTTAATTAGTTAATTCAGAAATTTTTTGTTATGCTAATGAGGATTGATATGGCAAGGATTAAAGCTTAAATATTGTGCAAGATCAGATGCTACCCAATAATGAAATGCCTTATTTCTGTGGCTTGTAAAGAGCTGACAACTAAAGGATAGAATCATGTAACTTAACATCTCGGGAGCTCAAGATGTGAGGATCAAGTGTTCCATGTATTGGATGGCATATAAATTGTAGTTTGCAAAAAATAATTAAATTATAAATAAAATTATTATTTATTAATTAAAATTTTAAAATATTAGTGGGTTATTTTTATTAATTTTTTAGAGATAACACTTTTCTCATTATGAATATTAAAAATAAATAAGTAAAAAATATTGAGCATATGATAAAAACATAAATTACATTGTTTAATATATTTTTATTTAAAAATATTAAAATAAAATTTTTAATATAAAAGGGCCTAACTCCCTAGCTTTATGCTTTTTCGATAAAAAGATACCATGAAACTTATACCTTGCCGGAGAGGCCATTCCACCAGTGATAGGCTACCAGCTCACTTTTGGAGCGCTCTGTTGAAGGAAGCGAGGCTTGACATGCCGCCGGTATGTCTCTTCTGCTTTCTATATGGGTGCTTTTATTTTTTATTTTTCTCAAAACCCTTCCAACGCAATCTGGTGATAAACAAATCGAAGATACCTCGTTTTCCTCTGCGGATGCAATTTTTTTTTTTTTCTCTTCAACACACAATTTAGTTTTCCGAGTTCTCTGCTCTGTTCTGTAGAATCTGAGATTTCATTTTGCTCACACTTTCATATTAGTTAATCTTGAACCTAAAGTGGTTAACTTTATCATATCAAATATCGAAGCATATAGTGTGGGAACTAAAATTGGGTGTTTTCGAATAGAAGGGAATAATCAATCTAGTCCGATGATTTTGGCTGAGATCATGATTCCATGAATAACCCATTTTTAATCTTTCTCGATTTTTGCTTCTGGCACTTCAAAATGCCCTCTTTTCGAGTTAGATGTGCTCATTGTACTGGTATTTTTGTGGTCTGCGTGACTCTTGATTTACAGCTGCTGTTAGGATATGGATTAACATGACTGGATATTCAGTGTGGTGTTTAATAACAAAATCCTTTTTCTTTCTTTTTTCTTTTTAGATATATCTTCATGGTCTTTGATTTTGTTGATTTGCATACTGAATTGGCTAATTATATGGCTTTCTGCTGATAATGCTTCCTCTTTCTTAATTTGGCAGTTTGTGAAACTTGAATAGGTGTAGATATGGAAGATGTCCTAACAGAAATACCCCCACCTTCAAGATTCTTTCAGGATGATCTTAATAACTTTTTAGCTCCGTCGCCATCTATTCCCTTGCCCTTCCTTGGGTTTTCTAGACCAAAGCCAAGTACACTCCTGCGCCCTTCTCTCCTCATCATTGCTTTATCTTCTCCATCTTTGTATTTGTTCCACCACTTGCCCTCTAAGACCTTAATTGGAAGTCTCATCTTGCCTGAGACATCTTTCACCGGTATCTCTGTTGAACCATCACTTGGAGACAAATCTTTCAACATCTATAACCTCAATGATGCTGAAAAGTTTGTGCTCCTAGTGTCAGTTCAGTGTGATGTTACTGCAGAAGATCTCATACTGTTGCAAGAATGCTCATTGGTGAAGATATAGTCCCCGAAAGGGTTTTGATATCGGACTCAGTTCAGAGCCGGAACTTTAGGGGCAAGCTATCAGTGGACGAAACACTGGCCTTCAAGCTAGAGACATCAGCAGAAAGGAGAGGATTGGCTGATGGCTCTAAAGGTTCACCACTTTTAAATGGTTTAGACTATTTTCCATCAGGAAGTATGATTGATGGCTTCCCTGCTGCTCTGTTGAGTCGTTGCCAAATGAGGAACATCAAAGGAACTCTGTGTGTCTCATGGCCTGAATTTGGAGGTTCTGTGGTGGCTCTAATTAAATCTCTACTGCAGAAGAGTGTGCTGCCAAGCTTGGACTTGAGCTTAAAGGGCGAGAGTGAGCATCAATATGCAAAGTTTATTGGAATTATGGATCATCTTTTCGACTCTGATCTGTACACATAATGAACAAGGGTAGGAGCTTATCCTTTTCTCTTACATCATGTCCTTTTACAATTATCTACTCTTTACTGTTTGCTGTCACAAATCTTTTGATAGAAACTCCGCAAAAGGAGGATTATGTGCTAGCCCAGCGTTTTTTTCTTCTTCTTCTTCTTCTTTTATAGAGTATTGCATCAAGTTGAATTTATGAAAAACATTCTGTCCCATTATGTTTCACATGTGTAATGTCAAACGAAGTAGGGTTCAAGCAACCTGGCTGGCATGGACGGCAATCACTCCATGACAAATGAAAATTTACAGTGAGCTTAGAATCTCATTGTGAATTTAAGCTCACTGTAGATTGGTTGGGAATTAGGTATTTCTTGCTGCATCTCCATGTTTTGCTGGCATTGCCTTTGGGAATGCTTAAATTCAATGCTTTGGAAATAAAGCAGTTGTGACATGTGATAGAAATCTTAATCTTGCTCTTTAAGATCATGACTCGGAGACGTTGAGGCAGAAAAGCAAGTGAAAATAGAAATACAAGAAAGATTGTGTTCAACATTCTTGTCCATGAAGAAAAATGGAAACGCCCTATAAAGTCTAGGTTGAACTTTGATTGGAATAAATTAATCTTATTCTATTATCCAGGCTTTGCTTAAAAAACGGAAGGAAACGAGTGGACTTTTCAGCCAAAAGTAACATGTAACAACTAAAGCATTGAATTTAACCTAATATGTTCAAGGTAGCCCATCCAACCCATGAAACTTAATGGCATATAACCGTCATGAAAACAATTTAATTAGATTATATTAGATCATCCCATCTTTTGATTAACAGATTTTTCTTAGGCTTTTATTTTTTATTATTTTTTCAAGAAGTCCAAAGTTTCCCTTTGAAAGTTGAGGAGCAAAAAGGAGGAAAACATCAGCTGTTATCAGAGATATTTGTTTGGTGACTTGCCCGCCAAATCTCTCAAACAATTAATTATATGAATCAGCACGCCTTTGAACCTCACCCGTTTGGAACTTTGGTGTGAGAACCCACCAACCAATTATTAGTTGCATCCTCTCTTGACTAAGAGACACCTTAGCACTAAATACTCAAGCTGCCATGCATAGAGAAAACTTAAAACCTCCAAAGTCTTTCTCTTATATATCTCTTACTCTCCACTCCATTAATTCAAGGAAGAAAAGTGAAAATGTCCCTTTATTCATATCTCAGTCCACAATGTTTCATGCTTTTTTGTTTAATCTTCATTTTCAGAAATGCAGCGAGTGATTATCCTCCATTGACACTGGATTACTACAAGTCCACGTGCCCGACTGTGTTTGAGATTGTCAGGAAAGAAATGGAGTGTGCAGTGCTATCTGATCCGCGTAATGCTGCCTTGGTGGTTAGGTTGCATATGCATGACTGCTTTGTTCAGGTCATGTCCTGTCTTACATTTCTTTGTAAATAAATTTGCTTCTTTTAGAAAAAGTTAACAGTCCTGAAATTCTGAGTAGAATGTGTTTTTCTTTGCAGGGTTGCGATGGGTCAGTTTTGCTTGATGATACAATTGATCTCCAAGGAGAGAAAAAGGCTTCAGAAAACATTCACTCTCTCAAAGGTTTTAGACTCATCGATAGGATCAAGAACATGCTTGAATCTGAGTGCCCTGGAATTGTCTCCTGCGCTGATATCCTCACAATTGCTGCAAGGGATGCCGTGATTCTAGTAAATTATGAATTTTTTTTCCACTTTTCTTTTACATTTTTGGTTTAGCTGTTAGGTGTATCCTAACAAGTTTATACATGTATAACCATAGTAAGTTCATTTCTCCAGTCCCATCAAATGGTTAAGGACAGGCTGTCTTTACCAGGAGTAGGGGATTCGCTGAGGATGTCCTGCTGTTTTTCTTATTCTCCTGATTCTCTTTGCAGGTTGGAGGACCTTATTGGGACGTTCCTCTGGGAAGAAAAGATTCAAGAACTGCGAGCTTGGAGCTGGCAAACTCAAATCTTCCAGATGCAAATGAGGGTCTGCTTAGTATTCTATCCAAATTTATTTATCAGGGCCTCTCTGTCACAGATACAGTAGCTCTTCTTGGTAAGCTATTAAATTCCTTACAAATTCTGTTATATGGCCTCTTCACTTTACGCTAATGAACCATATTCCAGCATTTGTTGGAAACCTTAAATTAGGCGTATTAAAATTTTTTTTTTTTTTTTAGTACGTCTTATTTTGGACTATATAAAAAAGGATAACCTTCCCTTATTCTCAAATCTCTTCCCACTTAATTCAAGTTTCAAACTTGAGATCTTTATTTTGAAATCTCAAGTTCTTAACTGTTGAATCAACTCATTAGAATTGACATATTAAAATTATATATGCATGTATTTGTGTCAGATTCTTAATCTACAGTTCATCCAACATATCATGTGGTCGTGACTTCGTGCTTGCAGGTTCACACACCATAGGCATGGCACGATGCGTGAATTTCAGACCAAGGATTTATGGAGACTTTGAAGCAACTTCAGATAAAACTCCAATTTCTGAGGCATATCTCAGCAACTTAAAATCAATCTGCCCAACAGTGGGAGGAGACAAAAACATAACCGCAATGGACAATGTCACTCCAAATCTTTTCGACAACTCTTTCTATTTGACATTAGTAAGAGGGGAAGGATTGCTGAATTCAGATCAAGAAATGTACTCCAGTGTTTTTGGGATTGAAACAAGGAAGCTTGTGAACAAGTTTGCTGAAGACCCTATTGCTTTCTTCCAGCAGTTCTCTGAGTCCATGGTGAAAATGGGGAATATTACGAATTCAGATAGCTTTGTCACTGGAGAAGTAAGAAGGAATTGCAGATTTGTGAACACCTGAGATATCAAGTATATTTGTTTTTTGTATAAAGAAATGAATATGTCACGGTTTCTTGTTCTTCTGCATTGCAGCTGCTGAATGCTAAAATATGAAACCATAGTGAAGGGCTGAATTAGAGCTCCATTAAAATGCTTTTCTTATCAACTCTCACCAAACTCTGGTGAGTATATTGCCAAAATGAAAATCCCACAGGTTTGTTTTTAAGGAAAGCGGTATTCGAGGTCAGTTTGCACACACGAGAATAACTCCACCTCTGTTTTATTGAGATGGAAGCCATTAAATTTTTATCAAGAGAATAAAATTCTCTTCTCCATGACCCAAGGGGTGGTAGCATTGTTGCCTTGTTGGGAAGGAGTTCATTCCATAGTTTGTTGACAAGGTTTTGATTCTTTAGAACAGTAAATAACAACGGGTTTGATCGGCACCTTATTGATAAGGTTTCAATTTTTTGGGGGAGGATAATTAGGAGCAATTTTTTTATATATATTTTTGTTTAGTTTGAATAATTTGCTTTAAAAACAAGATATTATCTGGTAACCACATTGAGTCCTGATTAATCTGAAATTGAGTCGTATCAGAACTCATTTGGAAAAAAACTCTCCCAACACCTGTTTCTCCATTCACAAGATTTGAATTCGATATCTTATTTAAGAGAAACTGAACTTTTTTCATTTAGACCGACCTGTCGTTAATTGAATAATTTACCTTTAATCAAACTAAGAAAGTTAATTTAGTAAGATAGGTGAAAATTAACGTAAAAATTACCTTATAATATGATAAGAAAATAAAAAATAAGGAAGAAAAAAAATCTCTGATAACACCATTTTTTGGAAGAAAAAAATGAATCCTGATATTATCAGCACGCCTATTTTTAATAGGAAGAAAAAAAAAATCTCTGATAACGCAAATAATAAGATATTTTTTTTATAAATATCATATTCATGCTTTAAAAATAAGATATTATTTGGTAATGACATTAAATCCAGATTAATTTGAAATCAAGTTATATCAAAACTCATTTGGGAAAACACTCTCCCAACATTTGTTTCTCTATTTACAAGATTTAAACTCGATATCTTATTTAAGGAAAACTAAACTCCTTCTATTTAGACTAACATGCCGTTGGTTGAATAATTTCCTTTTAATCAAACTAAGAAAGTTAATTGAGTAAGGTAAGTGAAAATTAACGTAAAAATTACCCCATAATATGATAAGAAAATAATAAATAAGGAAGAAAAAAAATCCAAAATACAGCTGCTGTATCATTTTTTTTTTCCCCTTCCCTATTCCGGTTTTGCCTGTAATCCGGCCAATGCCCAGAGGCCCTTTTATTTTAAGCCCAACACCACACAGGCAGATGGGTCCCTTTTTACACTCCTTCTCTTTTCTCTTCTTTTGGGCCATCTTAAAAAATCAAAATCAAAATAAAGGAAAAATAAAAGAGATTCGTGTTATAAGAATATAGTTTAATCATTAAAATTACAAAAATATTATTAAAAATTAATATAAGAAAATATTTTATAATAAATATTTTAAAAAATTTATATGTTGAATTACACTATTATTGTGCAGTTTGACTTGAGGAACACCTTTAAAAAAAAAAAATCTCTCATCAATCAATTAAATAATGATGTTGAAGAATGCACCCAAAAAAATAGCGTTGAAGAATTCCACCGAAAAAGGTAGTTGAGGAAATTGGCCAGTTTCAAAGTAAGTAGAAGGAATCATTCCATTTCACATTACTTTTTATTTTCCTGGATGCATCACGCACTATCCAAT